CCAAACTCAATACATGCATAAAGAAAAAAAAGAGCATTCCTTCCTTCCTGCTTCTGTCCTTCCTTCCTTAGGCCGGTTCCCATGAAAATGAGAGAACGCGCCACACCAGAAATGGACTTGGCGCTGGAATTCGACGATGCTCCACACGAGGGCACGATTTCAAACCAGAATGTGGGGAGGCTTCACGCCACGGCCAGATTTCAGAGGGGGACCAGAAAAAACCAGGATCAATAAACATTCAGAAAGCTCCACGCGAGAGCAAAATATCCTGGAGTTACTTGATCATCCTTATCTGATTTTTCTTGATCCTGTTTGATCTGTTTGTTTAATCCTTATTTATTGCTTGTTTGATCCCTATCTGCTTTGACAGCCGGCTCAGGCACAGCGAGCAAGACTTCGAGAAATTAGACACAAAGTGAAAGAAGCTGGAGAGAAATTACGCTGAAACGCCTTTGAGTGAGCATTGAGCAGAATTGAGTGCCCTGCTCTCTAGCTTCTCCCCATTTATCGGACATCCCTCTTTTCTCTCAACTTTGTCTCTAATTAGCTTCATTCGTGTGCTGTGCTGGGGGTTAGATTATTTCAGCACGCACATCGGACTAAGTTATTTGGGGAACTAGACCTCACAGCAAAAGAAGGCACCCAGCCAGGTAGCAACAAGTTTCGGGCATTCCGGCCTCGATCGCGTCTGTCACGCCGTCCGTCCCGCCCTTGTAACTTGCATGCGAATCCCAAGTCGCATTCGCAAAAGGGGCAAAAGGCGATTCTTTGCTGCCAGTGCTGCCAGGCAACTGTCAGGATCTCTATCTCGTTCGCGGCTTCTCGACAGTCTGCGTCTGTCTGGAGATCTAGAAGGTCGTCGCCTGGTGTCTGGAGATGGAGACGCCCTGCGCTTCCGGTCCACCGATCGCGAGGGCTTACGTCTGGCATCTGGCGAACGTGACCGCTTCTTGCTTTGTGGGGTACGTGACCTGCGCCGCCTTTCTGGGGAACGTGACACTTTGCGATCATCTGGTGACTGTGACACCTTGCGGCGTTTGCCTGGTGAAAATGACTTCTTGCGACCCTCCAGAGAGCGCGACGGCTTGTCCGGTGAGCGAGACTTGCGCTTTGCTGGTGAGCTGGATGGCTTTGGCTTCTTTGGCGGCTTCCTGTCTGGAGAGCCCGACTTCTTGCCTTAGGAGCACTCCCAAATTCGCACTAGCCCTCAAACACACATCATCCACATCAAGACATCTGCAGACAAACTACTGTCACCTCCGCCTTTTGCAAGCTTGTCTTCCCTGCCAGTGCCTCAGTACGGACAGCGCTGTGATTGAGGGCATGCTATGTGCAGGTTACCATTCGCGTGCTCATCCTGCAAGGCCTCCGATACGACCCAAGACATTCACACACACGGAAGACTGCTTGTTGCGGTCCCAGATAAGTACTGCAAAAGCATGAAAAAGAATCCACGACCAACCTGAAGCAAAAGCAGGAATTGGACAGATAGGCCTCTTGCACGCGCACATTCTCTTGCGCAATGCTTGCATTGCTTTGGGCAAGATGCAGAGATACCCGAGTTGCATTGAAATTTACCACAGGATCTGCACAACACGCTGTAACAGTGATTTCCGCAACTAACTATGCTTGGACAAGCCACACCGCTGGCGGTGTTTAAGGCTGTGGCTCTTGCTCCGGCTGCCTAGTAGACAAACCAACAGTCAACAGCTGTCAAAGAGTCAACGGATGTCAAAAGTGGGGTAAAATGTTCCGAAGTTTTCGATGTTTCGCCTCGGCCTCGGCTTTTTGAGCGGCCAGCTGCCATGCCTGAGGTATTGGGCCAGCTTGGGAGTTGGAATTGATCAGTGCTCCGGCATTGAGACCCAGGCGTTCCAACGCAAGCTTCAAGCACCGACCTAACGACAAATTCCAGCGGGTCGCATCAGCTTGAAAATTACGTGCAAACTTGTCAACATCAAATACGTATGGCAAAGCTGGATCCGTCACGTGCTACACAGATAGGTAGTAGCTGCAGGCCAAGTCTCAGCCCCAACTAGCTATGGCACTGAGATTCAGACGCCCCCCATGCACTTGGCTCAAGGATTGCGCCACATGTCCCCGAAAAAGGTTCCGTCTGCCTTTCCCTTTTGAAAATGGCCGCGGCAAGATACACATCTGTAAGATAAACTGCAGCTTTGACGCTTGATGTGTCACAGTTCAGTGCACATGTGTTGGCCTCGCGCCATGCTAAATTTATGATGCTGATTATCCCAAGGTATACCAAGCCTAGAACCATCGTCACTTCTGCCTTGCTCTCTTTTTCCGCTTACCTGCCTGATCTTTTGGCGCGTCGTCTGCTTCTTGCCCGAGCTTGCCGTGGCCGTGGCAGCCAGCTTCACACTTGCGACTCCAGGCGACATTCAACATCATGTCCAAAAGTCCAGGAAGGTAGCACTGCACTTACGTGGGGCCCCACGTGCCCGTATAAGGCTCAGAAATGCATCCATTCTCGCAACGAATCACGCTCCCGATGGGAAGAGGAGCCGGGTGCCCTCTGGCAGCTTGACTCGGTCAGCAAAGTTCTGGCAGGGAGCTATTGACGCCGGGGAAAGCACAGGTAAGCTTGGACTATGCTGCCTGGGGGTGCACAGCACTGGCTAAAAAACTCTTGTGCAAGGTGCGAAAAATTTTGCTTCCAACCAGGCCTCTTCAACGAACTGTCGGAGCCTTGTTCCAGACACTTGGTCTCCGTAATTTGTTGTGACCCACTTCCGCGGCGAGTATTCATCTTCTTGGTGGCAATCAACCATCCACAGTACCAACGAAACCTGTACCAACCCGTTCAACACTTTCGACGAGCCTGGCACTCAGCTATGTACCTGCAGCCCTCGTCTTTGCTTACCACTCAACAACGCTTGCCAATACGGTCTCAGTTGCCTTCGACCTTCCGCAAAAGTCTCTTCACGCTGTCACGGAAATCACCAATGTCCTGAGCTGAAGCGCCGCTGCAGCAGGCGCAGGAAGCAAATCAGAAAGCCTGCCAAAACGCAGAAATGAGGAGTCGAACAGCTTTCCAAGCTATTTCATGCGCTCGAGCGTAAGGCTAGGCATCCTACGAGAACGCCAGGTGTGTGGCTGGGAGTCTGATGTTGACCAGGTCTTTGCATTTGATTGCTTCTCTTCCCACCTGCCCTGGCTTGTGCAGGCTATTAAGCAATCCTGAACAAGCGATAATGCACAAGACTGTTTGTTTGGAAATGTTCGTGGCCTGCACGAAATTACTGACTCTCTAGAGAGACAACAAAAGAAGTATGAAGAAGTATTGCATGAAAAACTGAAACAATTGTGAGCTCACAGCCCCATCATGCCCCATCCTTCGTCAGGAATGTCTTCGAGCTCGCCTGCGGGCCTTTCCCTACCAGGTGTCCTCCCGCGGCTGTGTTTGACAAAGACCAAAACATTCACGAACTCATAACTTCTTAAATCTCTTTAATCTTTCACTGCCCAGATGGGTGTTCGCAGTGTTCGCGGCGTCCATAGTGTTCGCGGAGTTGGCCGCGTTCGCGGTGTTCGCGGTGTTTGCGTGTTCGCAGTGTTCACGTGTTCGCGGTGTTCGCGGTATTTGTGGTTCGCGTGTTCGCTGTGTTCGTGCGCTTCCAGCCAAGGGCGGTATCATGTTCATGAGTCGCGAATGATGTCAAGTCACTCTTAGCTTATCGCCGACGATGGCAAAACCGAAGATGCGCTTTACAACTTGAAACCGGACTTTGTCGTGCAGGTGGCAAGGGGCAAGGAAAAAAAAGTTGACACTGTCTGCACTACATCTGCACAGCCAGTGGCAGGTCGGTCGGCATGCACGAACCTTGCATTGGTCCCTTAGAGGTACACTTGTGACCGGCGCTCCATGTAAAGACTGAGGGCATTGCCAGGGAATTTATTAGCGATTATTTAGTTATTCTGTTTGTGATTGGAATTGTGATTTCTTTGTGATCGTTTTGAGAACGGACTGTTGGGAGTTGTTTGGGCTTGAGGAGAATTGGCGGAAAAATTGCGCTTTCTTTGCGATTTCTTTGAGAGCGGGTCTGTTTGGGTTTGTTGGGGCTTGAGGAAAATTAGCGGGAAATTAGCGGAAAATTAATGGAAAATTAGCGGACCATCAGTGGATGGAGTCGTAGAGGTGCTGGACTCCCCCCAGTCCCAACACGACCCGCGCCCCCAGCTCCCACCCACACCCGGCCCCGCGCCCCGCCCGCCCCTCCCCAGCCGGCCCTCCCCGCCTCTCCCAGCCCCTGACCCTCCAGCCCGCTAAATTTCTGCTAATTTCCCGCAAATGTTCCGCTAATTTCCCGCTAATGTTCCGCTCATTTTCCGCTAATGTTCCGCTGAGTTTCCATTCATTTTCCACTAATTTTCCGCTAATTTTCTGCTAATTTTCCACTAATGCTCCGCTAATGTTCCATTAATTATCCGCTACTGACCCGCTAATTTTCCATTATTTTTCCACCAATTTTCCGTTAGTTTTCCGCTATAGCAGCAGAAAACTAGCGAAAAAACTAGCGGACAATTGGCAGATAATTAGCAGAAAATTAGCGGAAAATTAGCGGAAAGTTAGCGGAAAATTGGCGGAACATTAGCGGAAAATTAATGGAAAATTAGCGGAAAATTAGTGGAAAATTAACAGAAAATGGAAGGCCGGAAGGGCTGGGGAAAGGTGGGCGGCCGGGGCAGCTGGCTGCCCCCCACCCATCCCCAGCCCCTCCCGCCTCAATTCTTATCAGACTTAGACAACTTCCAAATGGGCACCCCTAGTTTTGGAAACTTTCATTTTGTCCTCAAATGTTCCTCAAAGTTTCCTCAAATGTTCCTCAACTTTTCCTCAAACTTTCCTCAAATTTCCTCAAACTTTCCTCAACTCTTCCTCAAATTTTCCTCAACCGTTCACAAACCATTTCCGCAAATAAATCGCTAATTCTTTTGAGATAACTTATTTCCTTGATTCCAATGTTTACATGCCAATGCCGGTCTCACAGGTACACATGCAGCTACAGGTTGCTTGCAAAGGCTGCCGCACCTGTCCACCACCGCAGTAGCTCCTGCTCACTTTGCGCACACCTGCTGTCTATGTTGGGACAGCTTCCTAGCCAGGAAGGGTTTTAAGAGAAAGAATGCCGGTCGTGAAGGGATCCTTCGCCTCAGCCTTCCGATTTGCATGCTACTATAGTGCCTGGTCCAACCGGGGCACATGAAAAAACTCGCCGGTTTTGTCGTTGAGATACTTCCAGCCGCCAATGAGGTTCCAGTTCATAAGCAAGGGAACATCGAGAGCCAAAGCCTATTCTGCAAGAGAAATCAGACTACACCAGCACTTCGACCTGTATGCACAGCATCACCCATCATGCCTGAGTCGTCACGCGCGGAGAAGCATCGTGGACCTGCGGGACAAACAGAAATTTGCTTTGCCTAACATAATCGAAGAATTCATTCTGCGCCAAGAACTTTGTCTGCAAAATCTTGCCCTTGCAGCTCGGCGGAATGCTACATGCACGACGACCCTGCTTATCCTTTGTGGCAACAAGGACGCCAGTCATGCCAAGCTCACCGCACATCACCTCCAAGGCCGTTTTGACAAAGGTCCAGTTCTTGGCGTAAGACGACCAGCCAACACAATCGTTGTGGACATCTTGATCCGAACCAGAGAAAGTAAAATCATATTTTGTCGCCATTTTCGGCTGCGGGGGAGGAAGCGAAAAGTCTGACTGCGACATCAAAACCAATTTAACTGTCTCGGGGAAGATCTTTGCTGGCTCGCGAAGCATGTGCAGGAAGCCAGGGAAAAGACCGACGTATTCATCCTTGGGGAACTTTCCAGAGAAAGGATTTGGAGGCGGCTGCGGATAGTCCTCGAAGCTACTGATGCCGAGGAAGAGCAACTCCTGCTTATACTGATCAAACAGCTCCTTCTGGTGCCGAGATCGAAAGGGTGACCTCACAAGTATGACATTAACGAATTCACCTCTTTCATTCCGGACGGGCTGAAAAGGATATTCCCTGATGAGTCTTCCATGGGCTGGATGAAGCTTTGCAGACAATGCTGGTTTAGACGGAGCGGGTTGCTGCTCTCTGGCCATGGGTGCGACACTTCCAGGACTGGCCAGCTTCCGTAGATTCTTCGCAGAATTTGAGGACGCGGGGATTTTCCTGGTCGTGCTAGAGATCTCTTCTTCCTTCTTGCTGGTCAGCTTGGATAGTTGGGGTCGACTCCTCAAGCTTTCGACCAAATGATGCGCGCGAGCCCGGCTCGACCTCAGTGGAAACCGCCTAAGCCATGCCACACCAGCTTGGCAGAATTCTCACAGGCCGGGGCCCGGGGCGCCATTCTTGCGAGACCCTCGATGCCACGCCGGCATATTCGCGAACATCAGCATCTTGCAGTGGAAAAGCAGCTGGCCACAGTTGCCAAGCCAAGAACACCTTGGTGCTGCAGGCGGCCACAGGCCAGCGTCTACGCGCTATCTTGCGCCCGAGGCGCGGCTGGGCATGCGAGAAGCAAGCAAAGGATTCTGCACGGGTACACCGGCAGCACAGCTCGTCGGCATTTTCGGGAAGTCAGAGCATAGTACACCCGGACTAGCATGGCTGACCCCTTTTCAGGCACTTCCTTCGGAGCAACGTGAAATCCCCAAGTCAATGTACAAGATGCATGCGTCCTCAAGCAAGGTCAATGGGTGATACTCATGGCTCTTGCAATTTTATCCTCCCAAGCATGAGCAACAGATCAGAACAATAAACATGAACGCTGCAACAAAGAGAACGCAGTGACGTATATTATATATATGTATATATATATATATTAGACCGCTTTGTGCGAGAAAAAAAACTTGCCCTCTGCTGAAATTGTGAAGTAAGCCGTACCACTTGGTGGTTACAGGTGCTCGATGTGAAACTTTGGCAGCCTGGCAATCCTGCCATGGGCCTATATAGGCTCTAAGCCTCTTGCGCCCGAAACAGGAGCTGGTTTGAACTTGAAGCCGAACACCTCAATGCTAGTTGCTTGCAGTCTTGTTGACAATGATGAGCACCGTGGAGAAATAGCATCCACTAAGATTGCATCGAGTCGGAGAATTCAAGTGGTAAGCTGCTCACCAGAGGCTTGACTTTGACACAGAACTCCGACTCCAACCTCTGAGGCGATTCTTAGTGGTCATTTTCCCTGGTTCTCGACTAAAACCGTGACAGGGCCCCGACGGCAGCTCTGCTCGGCCTGCTTGACGGCAGAGCCTTTCAGGAAAATCTCGCCATCTCGTGTTTGCCGGAAAACATAGACCTAGACGCCTATTCTGGGGATTGGAATCTTTGACAATGCTCAGCGCCGGTCTTGGAGAACTCCGTATGGCTGAAGATCATCGGCCTCACTCGAGCTGGCCCTTGATGCTGCTCATGGCTTCTGATCTTCTTAGGGCCGGTCTCTCCTGCGTAGGTCCTGATGGTTTTGGGCTGCTGACAGAAACTGCCATCTGGAGCATCAACGGATTGGTGCCAAGAATTCACCGCATCAGCTTCCGCCAATGGCTTGTGACAGTAAGGAACTGCCAAATCTATGTCTCTGTACCAATCTAATCTGTGCAGCATTTTGGGGCCCTGCCGCATCCCACAAAAAAACACGACAGCAGGAAACATCAACAGCAACATGCAGCAGCAAGGCGGCAACGCTCCAACAACAATATATCAAAGACATAATGTTCTCTCGCCAGCACTCGCACCAGCTCTGGCACCGGCGCAAGCACCACCAGCAACCACACAACCCGCACCGGCAGCAGCAGCGCGAGCGGCAGTAGCAACGACCACCAACATAGCCACCAACAGCGCAACAACCAGAACAGGAGGAGCAACAACAGCATCCATAGCACCAGCAGCAACGACAAAACCAGCAAAAGTGATAGCAACATACAGCAACAGCAGCTGCAGCAGCAGCAGCACACCACCACGACCACCGAGGAGGAGGACGACGACGATGAAGATGACGACGGCGTCGAGCTAGAAGACGACAACAGCCATGATGACCATGGCCACGACAACAACCACAACCACCACCGCTGCCCACCAGCGCCACCGCCACTCACCAGCACTAACAGCGCAGGTGCAACATTACCAGCAGAGAAGACTACAAGCCCAACAGGAAGTAGAACCTGCATCCCACCAGCATCAAGCACGCCTGAACCGCAAGCGTGTCTCCGAGTACCTGAGTAGATCTCACTTGCTCGGCAAACGGCTGATCCGAGGCGGCATCCTCTGCAATTTCGCCAATCTCTAAGGCAGGCACACCTCACGGCCTGCGCGTATTCGGACCCGAATTATTGTTGCCACACGTTTGCTCGCCTCGTTCTTCAGCTTCTGGAACATGGAAGGTCTCGTAGAACTTGGGCTTTTTCACCTGCAAATGCTGTGGGGCTTTGAGTGCGCCAAAAGTTTCGTCAAGACAAGCGCTGCCTTTCGAGCAATCTTTGCTCGCACCTCTTCGTTGAGCTCCTGCTTTCCAACGAGTGGAGTGGAGTATTGACCTAACGTCACCTCCAACCCAAAGGCTGAAAATGTCAGTACCAACCATCAACAAAAACACAAAAGCAACCAACACTAGCAACAAGTGACAAGACGAACGAACGACTTGGGTGGAGACCATGGTTCTTCTGAGCCGAATGCCACACCCACACAAGGCAAAGAGGCGGAAGCATCATCCGGCAAAAAACCTGTCGAGTAGGCTGATGTGGCCAGTATGCCTGGAATTGATCTGACGCGTCAGAGCTCACTCCCAATGATCCCGTCGAGCCAAACGTGATGCGTATGGAGTTGACTCAGTTTACACTGAGCCTTGGGGATACAAGCACTCTGAGAAAACGCCACCGCAAAGAAGGTGACCACGAACAAAAACCAAGCCATTGCGGTGAGAAAGCGCCACCTCACAGAAGTTGACTATCTACAGCCGTTACAATATGAAAAATGAAGAAGTTGACCGCCAAAAAACAGCACCGCAAAGAGCGGCCACAAACCATGGGAATACAACCGCTATGAGATACTGACAAAGCAGTTGACCCCAAACCATGGCAATGCCACTGTGGCAAAAGCGTTGCCATGAAGAAGCTGACCGCCAACCATTCAACCATGGGATGCCAGAGCGGGGAGAAAACAACGCCGCCATGAGGAAACTGACCGCCACCACGAGTGACTGTAAACGCCAGCCAAGAGAAGGACACAAACTGTAGGAAAACAATGGCGACGAGAAAATGGCGTCGCAATGACATTGACCCCGATCTGTGGAGATGAAGGAAGTCGACTGCGAACCTTTGGAATACCCTTGCGAACAACGAAAGTGACCGCAAACTGTGGGGATAGCACTGCGGGCATACAACGTCGCTACGACGAAGTTGACTGCAATAAGAAAGCGGCAAACACCTTCAACGCGACTGTGGGGATACCACTGCGGAGAGAAAGTGCCAGCAAGTAGTTGAGCACAAACCGCGGGGATGCCTCTGCCGTTAAATATCGCCGCAACGAGGAGCATCACAATGAAGAAACAGCAAGGCACACATGGTTGACCGTGAACACTGGGAATACCATCGCCGGAAACACGCCACCATGAAGAAGTTGACCGCGAACCGTGGGGATGCCACCGCAGCAAAGAAGCTCCACAATGAAGAAGCGGACCGCGATCCGTGACAATGCCATCCCTGAAAATAGCGCCGTCATGAGGAGGGTGACCGCCCAACGTGGCAATGCCACCGCGATAAATGAAGGCGAACGTGGCAACGCAACTGCCGGAAGAACAAACCACCATGAAGAAGTTGACAGCGAACCGTGGGGATGCCACCGCGGCAAAGAAGCTCCACAATGACACAATCAAGAAGCGGACCGCGATCCGTGACAATGCCATCCCTGAAAACAGCGCCGACAAGAGGAAGTTGACTGCCGAACGTGGCAACACCACCGCGGTAAATGAAGGCGAACGTAACAACGCAACTACCGGAAAAACACACCACGATGAAGAAGTTGACCGCGAAACCTGGGGATGCCACCGCGGCAAAGAAGCTCCACAATGACACAATGAAGAAGCGGACCGCGATCCGTGACAATGCCATCGCTCAAGAGGCGCCGCCATGAAGAAGTTACTGCCAAACATGACAACGCCACAGTGATAAGTGAAGAAGTCGACCGCGAACTGTGCGGATGCCACCGCAGCACAAACAAGTTGACTGCCAAGCGTGGCAGTGCCAGCGCAGTCAAACCGCCGCCATGAAGAAGTAAACGGCGAACCGTGGGGATGCCACTGCGGTAGCAAATCGCCGCCGCTAACCGTGGCAATGGCACGGCGGCAAAAGAACTCCGCCATGAAGAAGTTGAAGGCGATCAGTGGCGACGCCACCGCGGTAAGCCAGCACCGCCATAAAGAAGTTAAATGCGAATCGTGGGCATGCCATTGCCGAAGAAAAAAAACGCCGTGAAGAAGTTGAGCGCGAACCTTGGAGTTGCCATTGATTGTCATGTCTGCTCCGGCAGTGTTGCCCTAGGCGAGAAGGGGGTGCTCGTCGAGCCAGCGGCTCTTAGTGCCGGTCCGGGGGTCCTCACCCTGCCAAGCACCAGCCCCTGGCAAGCCTGTGCTTGTGTCTGAGGACGTCAACATGTAGTATCTTTGCAGTATCTATCCTTCCCATGTTGGTGCTTCTTGCTCCCGATGACTTCTACCTGTGAAGGGTTGATTCTAGTCTAAAGACCTTGTACAATCAGAACTTGTGATGGTGGATCCGGTAGTCCTTGCGGTGCATCTGTTCTTGCGGGAGCTCTGGCTCGCCTGACTCCGGCAAGATTTGAGACGGTACTTCTCGGGGGGCCCAGCCCTGGCAACGTCTGTCTAAACATGCACGGAATCTCAATCCAGCAACGTCATCCAAAAAGTACACTTCAAGCCCATCCTGCAAAAAAAGAAATGCGTTTCCTGGCTCCAGCGTGCCCGGGGAAGGCAGGAAGGAGGGTTCCACGGCCGTCCACACTCTTCCCCGCCAAGCATTGCAGGGGGCATCCGCTAGCGTCATAGGCACCCTCCGCGGGAGGTTCCAGAGGGAGCTTAAGTCAAGAGCCAATACAGTCCAGCAAGCTACGAGAGGTGGGCAGTAAAAAACACGGGAAGGCTGCAAGTTGTGCGCACCTCAAGAAAATCAGCTCCAAAACAAATGGCAAGCTGCTAGGTAGGCAATCAAAAGAGGCCAGCTGGCAAGCTGCAAGGTGCGGGCAGCTGAACCAAAAATTGATGAAATGCTGCAAGGGGTGGACAGGAAGAGCCGGATGAAAAGCTGCAACAAGTGGGCAGCTAAACAAGACTGGTTGGCAAGCCGCAATGGCTGGGCAGCTGAAAACAAAAGAGGCTGCCAAGCTGCAGGCAGCTGTGGAAAGACTACGGCAAATTGTGGCTGCACCGCACATATCATGGCTACCCAACACCAGCAGGCACCGCCCACGCAGCTCCTCAGTGGAAGTGCGAGATCGCTGTGGGTAACGCTGCGGCAGCTTGCTGCGAATGCTGTTTTTGGAGAGGCCAAAGGAAGCGCCAAGGGCAAGGGCCCGGGGAAAGGAAAAGGAAACGTGGTC